TATTATCTACGGGTGGAACCCTTTATGCCAGCCTGCCTGTCAATTCTTGGGCTTTCTAGTCAGACCCAGTTTATAGAACTTTGTTGTAGCCCGTGGCAGAGTTCAGTGAGCCTTGGCCACGTTATAAACTACCAAGTGACTGTAGACATTTGCGGATTCTTTAGCTCCCCACCCCTCCATACTAGGGACTGAATTGTGGGCAGCACTCATCTGCAGAGTTACAATATCCCCAGGCCCGCTTTGTGCTTCCTGTTTTGACACAAAGTTTTACCAAGTTTTTCAGGTTGGCCTTGAACTCTGCAGCTGAGGTAGGCCTTGAAATCAGGATCCTCCTGCCTCAGGCCCCAGCCTCCTCCACACCTTCAAGTACCTGACAGCTTAGGCCTCTGCCACCATGCTCAGCCGCGGGTGGGCTTCACGTTGTTTTAAAGGTGTGCATGCTCTGTGCCTAGCTAGGCTTGTGGCATATACCTGCACTGCAATCCTAGTGCTCTGTGAGGTCGGTCAAACCATCACGAGCTTGAGCCCAAGTGCTGCTCACGAGATCCCGTCACAAACAGCCTTGGTCCATGTGGATAGCTGGTTGGTGTCTGTCCACCCTATGCAGAGCCTGGGTTGGTTTCACCATTACTACTGTAGAAAAAATAGTCTCTATCTTCTGGATGTGAGGACATACATAGATTACTGTTTGCCTCATTGGTGGGGGGCGGAAATGTGTCACCTGTATTTAACCTTTCTATGCAAACTTTTTATGCCCAGAAAAGAACTGAGGGGTGAGGCGAAGAGAGGCAGATAGACAATGTCATCAAAACTGAATTGGAGCCGACATGCCTCTTCTTTCTGGGCTGCTGATGTGAAAAGCGGTCTCCCTTTTGCTATGAGAGATACACAGGTTCACCAGCAGAGGGCAGCGGTTGTGGACTGCTGCGCTGGGAAAGGAAAGCGCTCTTGGCAGCCCTTAGGTGTGGAGGCTGCTTCCTGGGGCTGCAGTCAGTCAGCTTTGCTTTGGCTCCTGGGGGCCGTGATGCCCCCTGCTTCCCTGACTGGCTAACCTGATTGGTGACCAGGGGGCCTTCCTAAGGGAGGTGTTTGGAAGCTTTGGGTGCCAGCTCTATGTAACATCTTTAGGGGTTCCTAAATGGGAAGCGAGGTTGGAAGTTTCTGGGCCAGGCTCCCTTGGTCAGGCCTTGGTTATTTAACCCTCAGAGCCTCGAGCCTCTCATGTTTACAACCCTCAGCCCAGTGGCTCTCAAACCTTTCTAACGCTGCGACCCTTTAATACAGGTCCCCATGCTGTGGTGACCCCCACCATAAAATCATTTTTGTTGTCACTTCATAGCTGTGATCTTGCTACTGTCTCGAGTCGCAATGTAAATATCTGATGTTCAGGGTATCTGACATGTGCCCCCCCCAGAGGGGTTGACTCCCCAGGGCTGACAACCACTGCCTTAGAGGGAGGTGACAGTAAACAAGGGACATAAGTGGGTCCACAGCTGTGGCGAGTGTCACCTGAGTGATGACCGGGACCCGGAGCCGTCGTGGTTACTGGAGTCCGTGGAGATGAGAACACTGATCGCATGAATGATGGTGCTTGAGGAGGCTTCTCCAAGACCAGGGCTCTTCTGTCCTCAGAGCAGGGGTGAAGGAAGCAGGGGTCCCTGTGGGCCAGGGCACTTTGAGTAGCTAGAGTCCATTCAGCAAGTGGACCAGAGTCTGGTGGGGACGTTTGGTGGTAGAGACGAGGGTCGGTCGGACCCCAGCTCCAGTCTTGTCCGGCCATTGTCGACTTGTTGGCGATAATGGTTACTGGGGTGCATGACGGCCCCACAAACGCCCTCTCTCCCGGACTAACTTTCCCCTTGGGTCCAAGGGTTAATAGCCTGGAAGAGAACCGAGGGAGTAAGCCTTTACAAGATGCTTGTCATAGGCCAAGTCCCTGCTGAGTGCTTCACACCCAGATTTAAACCTAAGCGTTAGCTACTGACATTAGCTTCCTTTTATAGAAAGGAAAATCTGTGCTCCCAAAGAAGTGTGCACAGGGCTGTTGTCTGTCTGGTAAGCTCATTCGCGTCATGCTCCATTCGGATACCCAAGTCTATTCGAGCTTCTCTCTAGCTGTGCATTCCAGTCGCCTATGGGGTTCATTACCATTCCTCATCCTGGGCTCTGATGTCACAGGTGTGAGGTAGAGTCTAACTGTCCAGTATTCTTTTTGTAATATATACATTTATGTAGAATTTCCCTTTCTAAGAGTACAATTTTTTAAAACAGTAGTTTCCTTTAAAACAGATTTTACTTTTAATTCTATAAATATGTGTAGGAGTGTGTTTGCATGTATTTGTTTCCTCCGAGCTGGAGCCCCAGGTGGGTTGTGAGCCACCTGCCGTGGGTGCTGGAAACCAAATCCAGGTCCTTGGCAAGAGCAATGCATGGTTTTAGCCACAGTTGTTTCTCTGGTCCTCCCCTACCCCCCCTCCCCACCAGCCATCACCCTGAAAGAGCCTTTGTGCCCTTTGATCCCGATGCTTACGTTTTTAATGAGCTAGGTAGATGGCTCAGATACACCGAGTGACTCAGACACAGTGCTGTGTTACGGTTCCTGCAGATGTAAGAAAGCAAAACATTGGAGGAGGGGAAGGGAAAACCGAAAGGGGGAAAGGGCATTTATGGGAAGGATGAAGTCCTGGCTCCCTGTGCTGAGGCAGAATGCAGAAGGGAGAACTTTCTAGACCAAATCAAGACTAAAAAAGTTCTCTTTCCCACCACTGGTTCTTCTCAAGCAGCTGAGAGCTGGAGGGTTCTGAGTGAAGTTGATGCTTGGTGTGGTCCTTCTGAAGGACAAACGGATACTTTGCTTTGGGTGGAGCTCTAGGTCAGCCGTGCGCTTGGCTGAGTGGGAAGGAGCCTGAGGCATTGAGGAACCTGGCCAGTGGCAGTATCAGGCTGTGGCGGAACTTCAGGACAGTTCACAACCAGGAATTTCCTCCAGGCACGCACCACTTTGGGCCTTTTGCTTCTGCTAAAATCCAAAGCGCTCCCCTCTTAATGTGAGTCCTGTCTGGAGGATCAGCCCAGACAGAGCAGGTCAGGCCGTGGCCCAGATGCTGTTTGGGTAATAGATAGAGAATGTTGAACTTAGCGGAGACATTTCCAGCGGCACTCCAGAGAAGGGCTCTTGGCTCAGCTCTGCCCCTGGCTGTGGTAGATGGCTTTCCTGGGCGGCCTTCTCCACCCTGGCTCATGGGAGAGTGGGGGAAAGTGAGGGTGTGACTCTGACACACTGCAGTGGCACTGGTTAGTGATGCTGGCAAGAACAGGTTGTGAGGAAACCTCCTGGGGCTTTATATTGGCTGTAATAATCCATTTTGGCTGGTGAATGCGTCCAGACCCTAAGCATTTCCCTTTCGGATTTGTTTCCCCTTCCTCTTTCTGGACCGTGAGGGCATGAGTGAGGGCAGACACAAAGGGAAGTCAGTTTCACACCCCTCTTGGGACTCACCCTACATGAGCTGCAGGCCTGCACTCTGGCACGGATTCTGGGCTCCCTCTTCCTTATTTGTGATGCTCAGCTACTGTGGTCCCTGTGATTGATGGGCAGAGGAAATATCTGGAACAGAACCACGGAGCTGATTAGAGGAGGAAGGGAAGTGAGGGAGAGCCAGGGGTTGGCTGGGGAAAATGCAGGGCTGCTGGGTGTGGCCATCACTCAGGGCTCTTCTCATCTGAGGGAGATGACTTCGGGGAGTGGTCCCAGCTCAGAGGACACTGAGGTGTCGGGGAGATAAGCTCAGGGACTCACCCCGTAGCCAGTCTGCCGTCAGAATGCTGTCAAGTTCAAGCTGTTCGTGCTTACAGTTGCTGTCCCTGTGTTACCTCTTTGCTCGATGACCTGGTGCCTGTACAACCCTGAAGGAATTGAACAGGTCACTTACAACAGTGACGCAGGTAGTGGGCGCCTCATACTTTCACATGCATCATTGTATCCCCCAGACACAAGTGCATACCCCCCAAACACGAGTGCCCCATAGAAGCTCCTTTGTAAGTAGACGTTCACCGGGTGCATCGGTGGGTGAGGGACAGGGACACCCGAGTCTGGTTTTTCTGCACTGTCAGGGAGGCTGCTGAGCCGATTTTCACCGCTAATTGACCCAATGTCCTCTGAGCCCATTGGTTATGTCCAGGAGACGCAGCTAGTGTCCATTTCCACACAAGACGGTCTTCTAGCCTGGGAAACGAGGCAGGCAAATAACCGGCTCCCCAAGACACTCTAACAGGGGAGATGGACAATAAGGGCAATGCCCTTTGGGATTGTTTTGGAGGCTTTTGGCTATCGTTGGCGTGGTCTAGGGGAGGTTTAGAAGACCTGTGATCTATTGGCCTTCCATAAAGATTCAAGGACAGAGGTTGGAGGAGCCATTGCAGGCAGGGCCAGCAGCTAGGGCGAACAGGAGCTTCGGCTGGCTCAGCATGGCAGGCTGTAGAACGCTGGCCCATATGGTCTTTCAGTGCAACCCAGGACGACAGTGTGGCGGTGCTCTCACGGTGGTCACGGCAATGATCTTTGGCGTTTTTTGTAATACAGGGTCAGGGGTTTGTTTCAGTTGCCCCCCACACCCCGCCCCCCCCATAGCAACGAAGCTCCCATGTCTAATTCTTCTTATTTCAGCTCTGTGACACCCACCCACTTGTCTTGTAGTCACCTCTCAGAACTACTGTGGGCTTGGGGAGGGGAGTTAGAGCCCATGCTACTCAAAAGTGGATTTCCCCAGGTGGGTAAACTCCACGGAAGGCCACAGAGGGGCCTCATCATTCCAGCAATCTGGGCAGGCCCACAGACTCAGGCTCGGAGGAGGAGAGAAGGAGGGGCGGCTTTTCTCCCGTAGTGAGGATCCCTCTGGTTCTTTGCAGGAGACCGCGGGGTGGGCTAGTCGCCAGGGCTGGGGATGCCTGAGCAGATGAGGGAGCAGTTGGAAAGGTGGCTCAGCCCTTGGGTAGCCGCCGCCGAAGCTGTGGCTGTTCCTAGGAGACAGAGAAGCCAGCCTGCGGGGGAGGGGGAGCGAGTGGGTTGCTGCTTTTAGCAGCTGAAAGGGCTGCAGGGAGCTCTGGGTAAGACATTTTCTACCACAGTCGCTTCGCTTCTGCGGTAGAAGCTGCCGCGAGTAAGGCAGAGGAAGGAGGCTGGTGAGGGAGGAGGTCTCAGTTACAGCCATGCTGAATCACTGTTGCTGATCAGAATCCGTCACGGGGCTGCTGGGAGAACCCACAGAGCAGCGCCGGTTCCCGGGTGCATGCACAGTTTGGTGGCTACTAACCCCGCCGGGCCTCCCATAATGGAGGGCGAAAGGTACGTATGTGTAAGCATGTTGTGTGCAGGATGCATGTGTAAGCAAACGCGAGCTTAAGGTGCAACCACCGGCATCTATGTTTGCATCAGCGAGGCAGCGTTGCAAATCCTGGTCACCACGGGACCCCACAGCAGGGCGAGGACAGGAAAGTCCCTTTGGGAACCTACCTCTTCCAGGGCTAAAAGCTATAGAGAACCAGCTCTTGCCAAGGCAAGTCTGGGTTTGCTGGGCAGTAAAGCACACCAGAAGGAGGAACTTCCTGGCTGGTGCTAGGGAAGAGTTTCAGCTCAGCTTGAATCAGGATTGCCCTTTCAGGCTGCTTCGGGGAGGCGGTCCCTTTCCCCAGGGTGTCTTTCTTTGGTGGGGGGTTTTGATGTCATTTCAGGACTGGCCTTGGAGAGTGCACACACTTCATACCTATGTGGTTGAGTCTTCAGGAAACACACCAAGTGTTTTCCTAAAAGACGAGTCTGTATATGTATGTTCCCGGACGCTGGCTTGCGTGATTGTACAGGTGAAGGAGGAACCCAGGCAAATCACATTTGCACATAACTGGTTTTGTCTGTATCAAAAAGTTTGAGGGATGCTGCAAGGTCTGTCTTAGAGGAACCCACAGACTTTCACGCAATAGGAATCTCCAGAAGACATTTGAGAGCTTGTGACAAGCTGGCCAGGGTTTGTCTCCTGGCGAGCAGGAGCATATAGAGTTTGTCTGGGGAGCTGCTCCTCCGGTTGTGAAGGCGCTCAGTGCAGACTACAGATCAGAAGTCTGAGTGCCGCTACCTCCTCCTCATCCGTGGGCTGATGCAGAGAACAGGCTATGCCATTTTCCTTGAGTACAGAAGACCACAGGCAGAGACAGACGGCTTTCCCCCCAAGTTGGGAATTTACTGGTTCCCTGGGAACAGGCACGGTTTGCTCAGTCAGGGCTGACAACCTTTGGAAAGCACCTTGATGAGAGAGAGCACAGCTTGTCCTGACTCCCGTGGGTGAAATAACAGCTGAGGTCCCGTCACTCTCCTGTCTGAAAAAGTCTCAGAAACCAGCGCTTTTTGACAGCCTCTCTCACGGGAAGAGTCTAGTCCAGTGGTTCTCAACCTTCGAACGCTGTTGACCCTCTAACATGTCAGCAGTGACCTCCAGCCAAAATTATTTATGTTGCTACTTCACATCTGTAATCTTGCTACTGTTACAAATTGTAATGTAAAAATCTGATATTCAAGATGACTGATATTCAACCCCTGTGAAAGGGTCGTTTGACCCCAAAGGATCATGACCCTCAGGTTGAGAATCACTAGCCTAGGACTTTTTAGGCCATGTACACTGCCTCGTGGCCGTTTTCTTTCTGGGCTTTCTTTACAACAGCCCCCCCCCCCCAGCAGTGGGACACAGACCTCTGGGCAGAGGTGGGTGGTGCCCTTGCCCTCTGTCAACTGTAGCTAGCTGAGGAAGGGGTGGTGTGATGAAGGTGTGAAGTCCTGGACCATGTCTGTTACATGACCCACACATGTCCAGGCTGAGGTTGGCATGAGATTGCTGCCACCTGAGCATTAGGGGACAGCGATTGTGTCCAGGGTTCAGGGCTCACAAGCCCTTCTGTCGGAGAACTTGTACTGCTGGTCGGCGAGGGGAGATGATGTCTATGGCTCAGCACCCGCGTGCTTTCGTCTATTAGAGGCTGCGCATAGACAAGAAATCCTTGTGGAAACTTCCCAACTTTCACCAGGCTGCCCGGGTCATTACTTTTTGTTCCTATCCTAGGGGCAGCCTAGCTGCCAAACAAATGAGCTCTTGGGTTTGTCTCCTGCCTCTTTCCAAAGCGCGTGCACCCACCTGCCGCCAAGAGTTTCTTTTGGTGTCTTTCCCAGTCATGCACACTCCTTTCCTCTGCCACAAATCCTCATTCTCAGAGCTCTTTCTGTTAATACTTCTCTTCCCATCTTGTTGGAAAAACTCAGTTGTTTTAGTCTTCATTGATGTTCGTACATACAAACTTTTTTTTTTTTTTTTGCTGGGTTGTGGTGAGGAGAGGTTGAGACAGGTGTCTCTATGAATTCCTGGCTGTCTTAGAATTCATATGTAGACCAGGTTGGCCTTGAACTCATAGAGATCCACTTACTGCTGCCTCCAGAGCTCAGGGCTTAAAGGCGTGCGCCACCTTGCCTGGCTAGACTTCTTGCTTGTGTCTTTTTGTGCTTCTGTTTCATGTAATTTACAAGTCCTCAAACTTGGGGGCATACATACGGATGGCGTCTTGTGAGCCTTCCTCGGTATTTCTCACTGGCTATGGTATGGCTCTGCCGTCACAGGCGCTGGGTAGTAATTTGCCAGTTAACTGATAATACAAACACGTTTTATTACTTCTTCGAGAACTTCTTACAATGCATTTTGATCACATTCATCTCCCTTTCCCCACACCCTGCTCCCTGATCCATTCCCGCCTTCTTAACCCATCCATCTTCATGGTTGGGTGTCTTCTCTCTTTTACTCCCTGCCCCGCCCATTTGAGTCTAGTTTGAGTTATCCAGTTACCACTCTATGTGGGACTGCCCTGCAGTGTGGTCAGGGTACCACGTATCACAACACTAAAGAAGTCAGACTCTCCCCTCCCAGGGGCTGTCAGATGCTGGGGTCTCCTCTGCTGTGGGTGGGATTTTGTGCCTCCCTCCCCCACGTTGGGGTTTGTGTGGCTTGAGCTTGCACAGATCCTGCGCCTGCTGTGCTAACGGCCATGCGCTCACGTGTGCAGCTGTTACCCTGGGAAAGCACAGTTTCCTCCTCTACCGTCTCTGGCTCTCGAATCCTACCCACGCCCCAGGCCCCTCTTCCACAGAGACTCACGGGCATTTGGGGGGAGGGGTTACGATGTATGCATCCCGTTTTTCCTTATTCTCTGCATCTTGACCTTAGCTGGTGACTCTTGGGAGGAACTCCGGTAACTAAAAGGGTGGGGAAAAAGATCGAAACCCCTCAACATCCTTGGCCACCAAGCTGATTACCTCAGCTCCACTGGTGATGCCTTGACAGGGAAGAAGTAGCTCTGGTTCATAAGTTTTCTGGAAACCAAGGGTTAAAACGGAGTGATCAGCCCAGGTCACTAGACCCAACGTCCTGGGAGTAGAGGCTTTCTATTCTTCCTGCTTGGTCTACTTTTAACCTGCTCAGACGTAACTGGGGCTATTTTTAAGCATTAAAACATTTCAGCCAAAAGATTTCTATGAATAATTTTCTTTCCTTGCTATGAGGGTACGAAAATACCCTTTCCCTTGAATATTATTAATTGATGGTGCAGGCTTGGGAGTAACCAAGCTTCGGGAAGTATTTTACAAGCCATGTGACCTTGTGTGTATGGTATTTTTACTGAGCTATTTTTTTTATATGTAAAGGGAATATTTGCATTATTCTTGGTGGGGTTGTTGTGAAGATTAAATGAGTTTTGTTTTTTTGCTTTTTCTGGCAAGGAGTAAGTGCTTACGGTAGAGCATCTACTGTTATCCTGGACCCCTCTAATGCTGTGCTGGGCCCCAGGATCTAACGAAGTCTTTAGGGTTTTCCTGCATCAGTTATCCAAAGCAGGTTATGCGGGACTGTTCATACAAGGGACAGCGGGCAAGCTTAGCAGGCGTCACCTTACTTAAGTGACCTTTACAGAGTGAGGGCTTCACATCGTTTGTGTTTATTTTATTTTTTAAGATCTATTTTTGCCCCCCTTACAGATGCCATGCAGCACACAGATGCCCCGGTGGGTGTGAGCTGGGTACTCATTGCTCAGGCTAAGACCTCAAGAAGAGCCGGTGGAGTCGAACTTCCTCCGCCACATCCCAGAGTTCCCCAGCTCTCTGCTAGGTCTTCCCATGCTAAACCTTCCTGTGCTGGGCATCACCGAGGCTTGATGAGTGGCGAGGGTGATTCGGGGTCCTGCTCTCCCCTCCTCCCCGTCCCCCTTCTTCCCTCAGACACTAAAATGGCAGTTGCCCTTGCTGTTGGGGTTTTACTTTAGATTTGAAAATCAACCTTGTGGATGGATTAAAATAAGTTTTCCGCTTTCAAAATAAACTCAGTTCATAGCAACAGAAAGTGAAGTGGGTTGCCAGGGGGTAGAGAAAGGGGAGTAGGGAGTGCTTCACAGGCGTGGGGTTTCAAATCTGGAAGGGCAGTTGTAGAGATGGATAGGGGTGATAGTCATATGGCAACTCAGTGGGCTACAGGATAAAACAAGAATTTTGTTGTGTGTGTTATGCATACATAGACACAGACAGATGCAGACACACACACAGACACATACATACACAGACACATGGACACAAATAGACAGACATACACAGACAGGCAGACAGACAGACAGATACACATACATACACACCCTGAAGGTCCAGACTGGCAGGTCTGCTGTAGTTTCAGAGAAAGGCATGTTTTAGTAGAGACATCATCTAAAGGAGAAGCTGGCTGCTCATTTATCTTCAAGTTGTATGGTTTCTGTCATGGAAGCTGGGTTGCTCCTGCCTAGAAGGCTTTCAGGCCCAACTCTGCTGTGACCACCTATAAGGTGTCCTCAGGGGAATGGCCTTCTCTGCTGGCTCTTTCGATGGGAGCCTGCTGCTGTGCCTGGAGAAGCTCCTGGGATGAAGGAGCTTGTTGTGTGTTTGCCCTTGATAGCAGCAGAGGAACTCGGTGGAGACAGCCTGGAAAGCCGGCCTTCCTTCCTCCATCCTGAGTTTGCTTCTGTAGGTAAATGCTGGTGAGACCTCTCCCTGGCCCTGAAAGTCACATGTTCACACTGGTGCAGAAATGTCTGCTCTCACACCAGCAACACTGCACATAATCACTGCGGCGACAACAGGTCAGATTTTCCATTTGGATCCTGAGAGTGCATGCGTGCGTGTGTGCATGCGTGCATGTGTATGTGTGTGTGTCTGTGTGTCTGTGTATGTGTATGTGTGCGTGTGTATGTGTGTGTGTCTGTGTGTATGTGTGTGTATGTGTGTGTGCATGCGTGTGT